TTGTTCTTTATTAAAGTTAAGAAGAATAGAACCATAGCTAATCAAAGCATGTTTTATGATAAAAGTAAACAAAAAAAATAAAGGTAAGGTAAACCTGGCAACTTCTCTATTTTTGGAAGGACTTAAAAATCTAGGACCAATCTTTCAACAAAAAGGGTACCCTCGGACTGGCCATCAATGTTAAATATTTTTTTTTAAATATATGACATTATATTCTTCATAGATTTGGTATTCATCAGTGATTTCAGAAAAAAATATTAGTATAACATTAAACAGACAAAATACTCAAAAATAGAAAATGGAAAAGTTAACCTTACTTTATGACAACTTTGCCATCAGGAATTTTAATGAAAATAATAGGATTTGATCAAGGATGAAGGTAAGTTTACCACATAATATATTACATAACCCTCACAGCTATGATTTACTCCTTTAATTGTGTTGCAAGTAACAAAGTTTACGCTAGTGGCATAGTTGCGCCCCCATTATTAAAATTTTCATACAAACTTAAAAACATGTGTCAAGGTTGTCAAAAATCCTTAATTACGTACTTTACAAATTTTTTTATTTAATTCTTGTCACAGAATTTCTTAGGTAAAAATCTAAAATATAACACCAAAAACTCTTCTAAAACTACAAATTAAATTGGTGCAGTAATAAGCTTCAATCAATAATAGACCTACAGATCAAAAATAAAACTTGTCACAATAATGTTTAACGAGTACTTATTCTGTTTTTTTATTAGTCATCATCATCATTTTATTACATCTTTATATATCTACGACACATCTTCTCGTTAGACATACCTCAAAACCTTAAAACGAAATTGTACAACCAGTGATGACTTACGGATCTGAGACGTGGTCCTTCACTTCTGGCCGTATGAGGAAGCTCAAGGTCGCTCAGCGAGCTATGGAGAGGGCTATTCTCGGGGTTTCTCTGCGTGATAAACTTAGAAATGAGGATATGCGCAGTAGAACCAGAGTAACCGACATAGCCCAACGGATTAGTAAGCTGAAGTGGCAGTGGGCCGGCCATATAGCTCGAAGAACCGATAACCGATGGGGAAGAAAGGTTCTTGAGTGGCAGCCTCGTATCGGTAGGCGAAGTGTAGGGCGACCCCCCACGAGATGGAGTGACGACCTTGTAAGACACGCAGGAAGTCGATGGATGCAGGTGGCTCAGGGCCGTGCTTTGTGGCATTCCTTGGGGGAGGCCTATGTTCAGCAGTGGACTTGTGAAAGGTTGTAATGATGACGATGATGATCATTTTATTACAATCAATACTTACACTAAATAGAAAATATGGAAAGTAGTGAGTAGTAATAATACTATTAATACCCGAAAAATAATATAGATTACTCCTTTTTTTCTGCACTTTTGCTAAAGATGAATCGAAACTCTTTTGGTAAAAATCTGTCCGATAGATTACTACGGTGAATGTCAAGTACGCTTTCTTTGCATTGCCGTAATCGGTTAAAAATATAGGTTGAGAGTGACAACCCTTGGTTGTAGCAAAACATGGCAAAGTAAACGTCACATCGTGGCATCACTAATGTGGTAACTATGCAAAGTCAGTTTTGTAGAAAAATGTTAAGACCACAATGTTAAAAACAAAATATTACATTTCCTTACCTTTAATATTACGTTATTACAAATATGTAGATACAACTTACCTACATTCAATCTTTCAAACTAAATTAACAAAATCTCTGGAGCACTGAAAAAAGAGGTTACGTCGCCGGCACAATTCCCCGTCAAAATAAAATGCCAAAATTTATTCTCATGTTGTCATTTCGAAAACAATGCTGTCAATTTTTTATTAAATTATCATCTAAAAAATAGCATATCTCGAAAAACGTTACGCTGTCTGTGTTAATCGTAATTTTGTACCTATACATCCCTGATGGCAAAGTTAACTTCCATTGGTAAAGTTGCCAGACTTGACTGTAAAGCCGCGTCTCCACCAAAGTTTTGATGCCAACACAACAGTTGCCAACAAAACTTGTTTCCATTTTCGGCGGCAACATCAAAGGAATACGCTTGTTGCCAACATTTGTTCCTTCGGTGGAGACGCTAGTTGGAAACAGTTGTAAAGAGTTGGAAACATAACTGTTGTCAACATTTTTGGTGGATACGCGGCTTAATACTATATTGTGTTGCACGCCCAAACAGACTAGACAAGCAGCACCTATGCACAAGTATGACGCTTGTGGCAGCCATCTCCCTTCTCAATCATTACCATATGGCTACACGAATTTCTAGTGTTAAAATTGGCACTGAAAGTCTGGTATTATGTTCATCTTACCTAAGTCAATGGTAAAAGTCTTACATAATAGCCTAAATAACCATTATTTTGCAATTACCGGCCAAATTTGCAGAGAAGGTTCAGAATAAGTAATTTAGGCAAAAGGTGAAGAAAAATTATTTAAAAAAATCTCAAATATTCTGGTAATTTTTATCTTTTAAATTCAAAATGCGTGTCAATGCACTATTTTAACTGATTTTACCGTGCACACGCACATTCTTAAGCGTCGATCGGTAGGCAAAAACATTGTTGCCCATAAATCACATTCAATTTGGGATAATTTCAAATAAGAGTAGAAGAATATATTTGAACTTAAGTTTAAAAGGCTACTCTTTGAAAAATAATCCTGTGTAATGTGAAGGGAAAACTTTGTACCCTTTTTTAAGTATATTCCCCGGACAGAGGAGGGTGAGATATTGCATAGATAAAGTTTATATGGATAAGGAGTGCAGAAAGCTAATAGTTATATTTAATATTTGTTACAAATACATTACATAAAATAAAATATAACATTTTATTGTCTACGTTGACCCATTAGTTAACATATTGGTCTATCGTTTGTTTACTGCCAAATGTAAATGTCAAACACACCTAATCTACCAATCTATCACCAAATAAGGTAGGCCTCAAAAAATTAGTTCGGAAACATTTTTCGCAAACAACGTCGTCGAGGTATATAATCAATTAGTGTTGCTGCCTTTATCCAGATATATTACTTATAAAGTTACAGCCTACTACGTCCCACTGCTGGACACAGGCCTCCTCTCATTTCCGAGTTCTTCAAGGTTTTATGGCTAGGGAAAGTCCGCCGCGCTGCCTCAATGGGTCTTGGTGGACTTCACATGACTTCGAAATATATTTTTTTTTATTTCTAAGACATGCAGATTTTCTCACGATGTTTCCCTTCGCCGTACAGCATGTGGTAAATCGGTACTTTAAATTATAATTAACAATTTCATTGGTGCCGGCGGGGTTCGAACCAGAGTTGCTCGAGTACTACTGTGATATTTACAGTGAGCGATTGGCCTCTGGGCTACCACGGATTATGTATATATATTATGTATATATACATGTATTTATGTATGTGTGGATATGTATTCATGTGTATATATATTTTTGATATTAGTAATTGGTTTATATGGGTTATTATGTATTGGTTTGTATTCATATGTATTTATGTAATTTATAAGCCTTGTTTTAATGTGTTATATCTATTTATGTTTATTATATTGGGTTTTTAAATAAATAAATAAAATATTACTAATATTTCGGAAAGAATCGTTAATCTCTCTACTTTATTAACTTTTCCGCTATGAAAACTGTCAAATATTACACCTCATTCCAAAGTGCTGCCTGGTTGCGGAAAAATTATTGTATCATTGCACACAATATGCGCATAATAAGCACATTTTTTAACTTTTAATCCTATTATGCACATATTTAATTATCTGCTAAAAATAATAAAGTATATAAGAAATATAGGTATATTTACAAGGAAAATGTATTTTCGCGTCTTATTCAGCATTATTACAAAACAAAAATGTTCTAAGAACTTAGCAGCACTTTCAAAGCTTTTTAAGAAAATAATGTTTTAATCCTACAAGTTTATTAGTAAGTTGTATTTATTTCAAAAGTAATCTATTTGAAAATACGAATCATATAAAATTATATAATATTTTTGCCTTTGTTCAGTTCAATACTGCCTATTAAAAGTCTAGTGGTAAACAGGCCACCCCCCATAGATCACCATATAGGAGGGATACTTAGCGGGCGGATATGATAACCAAAGTTTTTTTTAATTAACAGGATGATGCTACTATCCATATCCTGTTTCAATTTACCTTTGTCGCCATTTACGACACCCACGGGTTGTCGTAAAAGGCGACAAATAATAATTAATTATTCATTACTTACCTTTCTTAAAATATTTGTACTGTTGCACCGCAATTTCAGCTAATTCAGCGACACGTTGTTACTAATTTAAAAAAAAAATTGAAAATTCTTATTAATAGTTAAAAATAATATTGAATAGTATAAATATATATAAATAGTATAAAAATAATAAAAAGTTATGTTTTTCAATACCATGGACTTCACATTTTACATTGTTGCAAATTATTTACATACTTCTTACGAAAATGTTTAAATTAAATTTCATTAAAAAAAACTATTTAAATAAAAACGTTTTGAAATTAGTTACGTGGTTGTATCATAACAGTGCATAGCAGTTTCGCATTAACAATAATAACGTTACACAAATTACAAAATATAAACCTTTTCTTAATTTTTCTAAAACCCCGCGTTTTGTCAAACAAGGTAGCAACGTAACAATAATAATTACTGATACCAACAACTCAAGCTTCCCTACTTAAAAGTGGTACAAATAACCCATAACATTGAGTTTTAAACATGTCCAAACTATTTTTCAACAATAATTGTTATATTAAAACAAAAATTGAATTAATTTTATGATTTTAATAACTTCCCATAAAATAAATTGCTCAACAGCGCCGTATCCGGTCTCGTTAAATGGCCACCAGACGGCGCCTCTTGTACAACGTCACTCGTGTGTAATGTGTATCTATAGTTTCCTTCTGTTTTGAAACCCAAGCAAGCTTAGTGATTTTGTTCTTTGGGTAATATAAAAGGTGATCTATCAGTGCTAATAGTGTAAAAGTACAAGTTCAAGAAGATGGAAAAAAGGGTTGTTTTGGAACTGAGGGGAAGAAACCCTTCACAGGTAAATAGATCTACGCTTCGTTGTATTGGAATGTTTTGTCGATACGTATTTCGTTAGGCATCTATGTGTAAAATTATTAAAACGTGAATATTGTGAATAAATAATTGATGATGAATTTATTTATCACATTAATACCTAAATAAAATACGAATGTGGTTTTCATATGTGGCGTTATTGTTTATAACGATAGCTATAACCGATTGTTACGTCTTATTCATGTCCGCGTTCTAATATCATAAATAATATAATTATTACTTTTGTTTCTTTTCCATAACAATAATTGGTTACTGAGGAATAATAGGAAAAAAAATTGGCACAATCTAAGTAGTAATTATCACTTAAAATAATGTTCAGTTTGAGGTTAAGTATTGAAACGCTGTAGACATAATAAGGGGAGATGTAAGCAAACAATTAATTTGCAAGCACTAATAGCTTTCATTATAACATCCTCGCATTTCATTTCTTGTATAATTTTACATAATTGTTAATCAATCACTCTATGTCTGATTAGTTTTCAGACTGACACAGGTAGTATTATCATCGTATTACCACCGCTATATGTAATGTAGTTTAATTTTTAATTGCACTTTGATTCAAATTAGTTAGCAATTAAAAAGTATAGATTATTGCATATAACGGATACTTTTATCCACACATAATAAATTTACTTTATGTACTCTACATAATTTCGCGCCCTTTCACCTAGCTCAAATATTCCCGTAAGAAAGCCACTTAAAGATAAACTGATAGTGATCAGTTTTATGTCTTCATTATGCAGCTTGAATACATAGCATATTGAACGTTTTAGTTAATGTTGTAAGCAAATTCACTTCAGAATGTAGACGCACGCCTTACCAATACAGCGGCCATTTTTATTGCGTCGCGATGATTCGTGTCATCCGCCATTGCAAATTAGAAACTTATCATGTTTTATCAACAATCAAAACACGGCATTAATGTTTTTAGATACAAATAGCTACAAAATCACATCTGTTTCTTAAATTAGTATTCAATTTGCCAATTTAATCACTTATTTGTAAAATTCTACAACCTACGCCAATATAGATCTTTGACAACTCACACCATTTTGACGTTTTGGTTTGTTTGACTTTTAAAATATCATCAAGCCAGATAAAGTACTTATTTGTATAAATTACCCATGTTCCATAATTTATTACAGGTTCTGAAAAGATAAAAATCATTTGATAATTGTCCTGGTCACTACGTTATTGTAGTATTATTAAATTTACGCTATTCACTTGACGTAACCTAATAACAGCGTAGGGTTGCCACCCAATGCAAATCCTTCGAAAAACTACGAAATAGAAACCTTTAACGAAGAAAAAATCCTACACATAATATCCACACGTTGATAGGCATTAAAACTAATAAATTAATATGAAAAAAAAAATACATTTTAACGTAGTACTAATACATATGGTTATATATTATTTACAGGTCAAGGAACTTAATTTGGACAATTGCAGGAGTACAAACATTGTTGGACTAACAGATGAATATACAAACCTTGAAATCCTCAGTCTCAACAATGCAGGTCTGACATCACTGAAAGGTTTCCCGACCCTTCCCAAGCTATGGAAGTTAGAGCTCTCAGACAACAGAATATCTAATGGACTTAATTTTCTCCATGGCTGCAAAAAGTTGACTCATCTCAATTTATCTGGTAACAAAATCAAAGACCTAGAAACTTTGAAACCATTAGAAGAGTTTGAGAACTTAAAAAACCTTGATCTGTTCAACAATGAAGTCACTAATATTGAGGATTACAGGACCAAGGTGTTTGCTCTGCATCCATCACTGAAATATTTAGATGGGTAAAGTATTCGTAAATATTTTAATATAAAAGTCAATTAAATTTCTGTAGATTATAATAATTTTATGTATCAGTTATTTATTTCATGTTACTATATTCCTTTTTAGATTTGACAAAGAAGATAGAGAGGCTGAGGATAGTGATGCTTACAGTGATGGGCTTGAGGAGAATGGAAATAATGACAGTGAAGAGGATGGTTAGTATGTAATATTTTATGTAAAGAAAATGTTTCATAAAAGTATGTTCACAGTGACTTTGTCCTGGATTACAGATGTGGATATAGATTTTGGTCCGCTGGTTATTGATGATGATAGTTTATCACAAAGGCCGCAAGACACAAAACCCTCTCTACTAATGACCTTATATACTGTTTATGGTCTCCTATTCCACATGGGTTATCTAATTAAAAGTAAGCATCATATTATTAAATTGGTGATGCTTGCCTCCATTTTTATAAAAGTTAGATTTAACTTTTATTTATTAATGAAACTAAAAGCTTATTGGTGTACACCATTTCAAGGTCAAGACACAGTCATACACATCCATCAAATTTTTGTATCTAAAATAAAAATGCAGAGCAACTTCTATACATATTGGTATATTCATATTGGTAATTCTTTTCTATGAAAAACAAGCACATCGTCTTTTTATTTTTGTCTATTATACCAAACTAAAATTGGGCTACTTCTTACTTAAATTGTAATCATATGCATAGCTTTATGTCTTGCAATCAAACTTTTTAAAGAATATTTGTTTTAAGTATATAATATATTCTAATATTTTACAGACAAATTTTCATTAGAATGTTGATATATTAATAATAAAAGAAGAGAAAAATTAATACTAAATATTCTTTCGAAAACTATAAAAGGTTCACTTACGATTTTTTTTTAAATTCTTCTCACATTGAGTAAAGTATAAAACAAGTATTACATACTGCATTGGCTTGTGTAGTTGGTGATGTCATTGCCTTAATTATATTGATTTCTTCTTGTTTTGTTAAATAAAAATAGTTTGTTGCTTTTTTTAATATCAAATTTGGGAAATTGACATAAACATTTTATTCATTCAATAGTTGTTTTTATTTCCTATTAAATAATGTGTTTAAAATAAGAACTATTCCATTAGACTTATTTTTTTAGATGGTTGTTGGTTTAATAAAAACATAATTTCAATAACTTTTAGGTATATTTTAAATAAAGGATAATTGTTACAGAGTCTGAAGATGAGGTTGAAGAGGAAGAGGATGAAGATCTCTCACTCAGCGAGGTGTACAATGAAAATCTTGGTAAATATTACATTTACATTTTTAACAGTGGTAGAGCCACGCGGCGGCTTTTGCTGTCGCACGGATGGGCCGGCTCGAACCGGGGTGGTACCACGACCTCACAGAATACCAACGTGAAGTAGAGGCTTACCCTCTGCGTGTCGCTTGGTGAGTGCAGGTGGCCGGAGGCCCTTTTTACTGGAAATGAGGCATTCCATCATAGTCCTCACGGGTGACAACGCATCTGCATTTTGATTCGCAAACGAGGATAGATGTAGATGTCTATGGGCCGCAGCAACCACTTACCATCAAGTGGAATGTGTGCTCGTTTGTCACCCTTATCTTATAAAAAGAAAAAAAATATTCTTTATTTCAAATACAATGAATTGATCTTAAATTAATTTTAATTAGGGATATAACAATACCATATGTCGGGATGCCAGCGGGTTGCCGCCCCGTTCCGTTGCAAGCAAGCTGGGGGAAAAGCCGCACATGCTTTTTGCCATGTTTGTTAGATGTTGTATTTTATCGAGAGAAATTCCCTGATTTGAAAAAGCTTGCATTATCCAGGTGATAATCTCCGGTCTCTCAGAATGTCTATTTTCATGTGCGGCCTCGTACAAAATAATTAGCATATCTACTAATAATTTGAATAAACTGCTTTCCAAACAAAAATCTGTTATAAGTGAACTTCAACTATCTATCCATCCATCCATTTATAGCCTACCTAAATCCACTGTTGAAAATAGACTTCCTCCATAGATTACCTCATATTTGGATTTGGATTTTTGCCGTACTTGGCAAGTGGGTTGGCAATCGCAGGATTTTATTTGAAGTCAGTTTTAGGAAGACGCTGCTGCCCTTCTCCCGATTTGTTTCCGTCTGTCGCATAACATTATCTGTATCATATCGGCAAAATAATGTATTTGTTACATTCCTAATTTTAATACAATTTAACATAATTGTGTACCATTAATTTAATTGAAAATATTTTTTTTTGTGATACAGCAACTAAAATTACTATTATAATTTATGTTTAGAGGAGGAAAGCTCTGCAAGCCCACTATATGAAGCAGAGGGCTACTTAGATGAGGAATATGATCTGGATGATGAAGAAGGAGACGAAGAGAATGACGCCAATGGCGAGCACAATCCTAAATCTCAGGGTAAATGTTTAAAATCTTAACTTTAAAGTAACATTGCAACAAATGTGTAATTTAAAAAATGCCTTTATATAATAATTATTGTGTCGAATAAGAGACACATCAATTTTTCTTATCAAGTGGGTATTCTTAGAAGTATTGTTTAGCCTCCAATAGATGTATTAGTATGATTTGACCTTCAATAGATGCTTTTGAGATTCAAACTCAGATTGTAAATTGAAAAAATATAATATATATATAGATAGCTTAGGATGCCGAGTGAGAATAAATTACCTGTAAGCCCCATAGTTATGTGGGGTTCTAAGCTTCTAAGTCCTGAAATGGAATTACTGGGGCTTATAAAATTACACATATTTCTCAGGAATGTCTTCATTTCAGCAATGCATGTTTACATTTTAAGTGAACCATGTGAACATATAGTTATGGCAGAATCGATGGAGGACCACTATGCACAGTGACCTCAATAGTGTCTCTAGGTCTTAACATGCACATGGTCAAAATAGGTCATGTGTAAGATGCATTTCACACCTAGTTGTTGAGAGCACTTAGCTCGATGTTGTTGACGAGTACATTTACCTAGGAAAAATGTCCAACTAGGTAAATCAAACTTTGACCAATTGTCAATCGATACAACTCAGCTAGGCAGTGTTCTGGACATTACGAAATATTTTCTTTTATTGTCATGTATACTTACCTCAAAACTTGAAAAGAAGAGATTACAACCAGTGTGTGTTGCCAGTGATGATATGGATCTAAGATTTCGTTAACTGCTGTATGAGGAAGCTAAAAGTCACTCAGAGAGCTATGAAGAAGGTTCAATCATATTGAAGTTTCTCTAAGTTGATAGACTTTGTAATAAGCCCAAGGGATCAGTAAGCTGAAGTGGCAATGGGCTGGCTGAATAGCTTGAACAACCGACCACTGATGGGAAAAAGGTTCTTGAACAGAATGTAAGGCGGCCCCCCTCTAGATGGAGTGACGACCGGGTAATACATACATGTTGCCCAGGATCATGCTTTGTGATGTTCCTTGGGGTAGGTGTATGTTCAGCAGTGAATTTGTGTGAGCTCGTGATGATGATGATGTTGGTGTATTATCATGATATACAATAAATAGAATTAAAAGCCCATTTCTTTATATAATCTCAGACCAACAAAGGAAAATAGCTATACAACTGACGCGCGCGCGCGCGTATGTGTGTAAGTTGAGCATGGTTTGGCGTCACTTAAAATATAAGTTGTGTTCTGTTTGTCCTTCCTTGTTGGTCTGAGTATATAATAAAAAACTAATGTATGGAAAGAAGCCAATATATGTATATAGGAACTTTTTTACTATTTTGGAGTAAAACTGGAAAAAATACAACAAAATTTATATTAGGGATAGTTAATTGTTACTTTTGATTAAATTTTGATGAATTGTTTCTTTTTAGATGTTGAGAATGCAACTGGCAACCCTGAAGAGAGCACTCGGGGTAAAAAGCGAAAACATGAGGATGATGACGAGAATTGAGTGTTGCCTTGAGCGGAGTTATCTTACTAGTTTGTAAGTGTACAGCGCTCCGATGCATCGGACAATAAATCACGATACATTGAAGTTATCCCCATAGACTAGTTGTCATTTGTGAGATTGTTACTATCACCCTACGAGAGATACAAGTCCGATGGACAGCAAGCGGAAGGATATGTTTATGGCCATTGATTTATGTTTGTCTATTGTGTGGAAAGTGTAGTTTGTTGTCCGACTAGTTAATGTTTCAATTAAATTGTTTATGTAATAATCATTTTTTATTCTATTGACATACTTAATTATAGTCAATCCAATCATTGAAATGAAAGTGCATGATTTTAGAATTAACATAGCTCTCAACAAGTCTTAAAAATTTAAAATTATATAAATTAGCTTTAAGTTACCTAATAAAAATGGAAAATGGTTTAGATTTCTTCTATTAAATAACGATTTTATTCCGATGTGGGTATTCCGCCTGTATATTAATATGACCAACTAATTAGACTGGTTGAGACATATTTAAAAAAAATCTATGACTATGTCGGTTTTCATATTTATGTACAAACTGAAAATACAAAAGTGAAATTATAAGCTAAAATAAGTAGGAACATACTACAAGCTTTTGATTACGTAATTTGTATATAATATTGTCATAGTTGAATTTGTTTTAATAATTTCTTTAAAAAAATATATATACACTCTTGGACACCATCGATATCAAATTTGCTCTTTGATTACACTTGTAAATTTTTGCAATAGATTACTTATACATTTTCAAGGCGTTGTTTTCAACGTAACCTAAATATTTGCAATCTACCATACGAATTAATAGACTACTAGCCAATTTACAAGTGTAATCTCATCTTTAAAAATGCAAATCTTTAGTTATAATTTTATGTGTGGTGTCAAGTAAATTGAAATTCGAGACTGTTCAAGAGACACCAATTTAAATTTAATTATAGATAAAGTATTCAGGCAGTTACATTAAGGCACCCACCCATACTAGGTTTTGCAGTGTACAGGGATTTCTACACTGAGGAAATTCTGATTTTTAAATTATATTGTAATCTCACTAATGATAACTTATGCTCATCAGTATTTTCGTAATAAATTCCGACAAGCATCATACGGTGATTTAGATCAAATTCTTTACACACTGATGAGTAAGAGAATATTTTTCTACAATATTTTTAAATCTTAAAAGAGCAATTTATGCACTTAAGTATATCAATGATAATTTATGAAATGTTTGGTTGATGCATCATGGTGAATGTGCCAGATATGTTGAAGAGAATTTTAGTTAATAATTTTATTGTATTATGTAAGTCATTAAGTTTAAGTAATTTACAACTTGGCCTGTTGATATATATATTATATAATCCTAATAAGACTTTATTTCTGGGATTGTAAAATAAAAACTAAACCTATATTTTCTACATATTTTATTTCACCTTGCATATCCATCCATCCTTGCAAACAAAAATACTTCAAAATTATTAAATAACACTAATTATTTTGCTGTTCTAAAAATTGTTGTAGTAAAACACTTTCAATTGGTATTATTAAGTTCTCACTTCCATCAAAAGTTCTTTTTATTCTCACTAGTTTGTGGTCTAAGAATTCGGTAAGTTGAGCTCGCAAAGCCAAGTCTGAGCTCACCAAGAACTGTTCACGTGATTTTGAATATAATTCCTTGAGGGATAAACCTGAAACAATTCCCAAATAATATAATAAACTTAAATTAAAAAGGTACCTATCGAATAACACGATAACGAAATGGCGAAAATAAATATTGTAAAGAGATATGAGGATAGAAGTTAAAAAAAGGAAGTTAGGATAGAACTCCTCCCCCACTCTTTCGTACAATATAGTATAAGGCCGTATACAGAAAGAAAGCTAGCAGCCTATCAGCGCTTATAGGGACCGACCGGTCCACGCAGGTAACCGGCGCAGGCATTTATATAAAAAGGCGCCGAACGTCGCCGACAATCTTCGACACGCTTCGGTCAGCGCTGGCGCCGCCCGCCATTTAAAATTAATGAACAACTATACGACAACACGTACAACTACGATACGCATATATTTTTGTTAAATAGAGAAATGAATAGTGACGTGTTGATTGTACGGAAGACGGCATATCAAGGGTAACACTTGGATACTTTTTAAAATCGCTCTTATTACAAAACTAGCTTTCACCCGCGTGTTATTTGGAGTTTTAATTTTTTTGCGCGGAACCCAAATTCTTTTTCTAATGGCTCCAGTACACGTTGGCCGAGCGCGCTCGGGCTGGGCCGTTTTGTACGTATTTGGCGTTTGCGGCAACACTCGCCGACGAGCCGTATAGTATCGGTTTTCGTGCACAAATCAAAGAAATTTGGCGCAAGCCGCAAACAGCGATCACACGTTGGTGTCGGCTTAATAAAATTGTTTCAACATGGCGACATGGACTAATAAGGAAATATTTAGGTTCACTGATTGATTGTCACAATGAATCAGTTATATGGAACCCCAAACATGAGCAACATAAAAATAAAACCAGAGTAACAATTTTCCTAACTGCATTAAATAATACACGTATAGTTGCGATTTCAGAGTGACTACCTAATGATAAATATTATTATAAATTATCTCTGAGTTTATGTTGCTCAGGGATAATGTAGCTTAGGGGCTTCTTTTAGGCTATCTTTTATTTTGAAAAAAAAACCCAGCGAAGCGGGCACGGGTCAGCTAGTAGATCCTATAAGGGTTTCTTTTCTCCTTTTGAGGTCGGAACCCTAAAAAGGACAAACTTGGATTATTGTTGTATATGTAGTTCCTTTTTCGTTCACTCTGAGGAAAGTGAAGCATAAGTATATTACAGCGGCCGCGATAACGTCCATCATCATCTAGCTACCAACGTAGAATGAAACACGCCAACGTGTACAGGAGCCATAAAATAAAAGTAGCTTAAGTTACTTCTTGTGATATCAGCTATCTGCCAATGAAAATCCCGTCAAAATCGGTTCAGCCGTTACGGAGATTAGCCAGAACAAACAGACAGACAGACAGACAAAAACTAAAAATTGTATTTTTGTTATTAGTACCGTATATAGTTTCATATGCATTTAGTAAAAAGCTGTAATTTTGACATTACAAACAGACACTTCAATTTTATTTATTCGTATGGATAATAAGGTTGGTACAAATCTAGTGTTACGAATTACGATTGATCTGCTGTTGACTGTACAAGTGTATATTTAAACCACGTTTAAACATTTTAAAATTTAAAATATTTAAACGTGGTTTAAATATTGTTATTATATATTAATATAATATATGTGTGTGTCACATACACATATAGTATATTAATATATAATAACAATATTTAAATATTAATTTAAAATTAAAATTAATATTTATTACAGAACTTTACAGTTCTAAGGCGAATATTTTGTAAAAATTGACTAATGGACAAATAAACATCTTTTCTTAAACATTTTTATTATTATAATCTTTTTATAAATCTAATAACTTTAACTTTTAATAACTAAGCGATAAAAATATTTTTTCGTATTTCTTCTGGAAGGATTGGTTGTTTACGCCAATTACACCAATTTTCATCAAATGTTTTTCCACTAAGTCCAAAATGTAATAAAATGTTTCTTGAGTCATTCTTGTATATCTATGGAATTTTTGATCATCAAATTTCAATTGTTTTACAATTAAATGATGGTATTCTCCGAAACGTTTCCTTTCTCTATTAATAGGATGTATAGCTTATTTTCGCGTTTTAACAAAACTAATTCATCGTCCGATGAGTACGACATTTTGCTCGCTCTGCTTCAATCGGCTTGCTTTATGTAACTGTTACCACAATAGACCAGCGCCGATAAGCGCTGGTAGATCGGCGCCGGCTGCCGGCTTTCTTTCTGTATACGGCTTAAAATACGCCGCAGTCAGCTATAAAAAGGGGCTGAAAAGAAGTGAGGCTACTGCTACTCTGCGCCCCCTTTTCCCTAAAGGTGGTCGCTTCCGATTCGGCAGAAAGGCCATACAGGCCAAAGCCAGTCCCGCAGGTGGTGTTTAGTGGGTATGCACTTCGTATGGCGGCTCTTCACGTTGGCCAACATAGTGGCGAATGTGCTGGCAAAGATATTGGCCAAGAATTTGTGATCGCGTCCACACGTGGGAAGGTCGTTTAGTTTGCTTCGGTTCAGGCCAATGTACGGACGAATTTATTAAAATGATTATTGAGGCGCTAACGGCTGCTGCAGTTTATTTATTCACAGCATACCACTACAACGTGAATATGTTACAAATAAGAAAAGGCTGATCAAAAGGAAATGGGAAAAAAATAAATTTTATTTCTTGACGGCTCCGTGGCGTAGTGACTTAGCAATGAGTTGCTGCGCTGGGGGCCGCTGGTTCGAATCCCGCACGGAACAAGTATTTGTATGGTCTGCATTTGTAGGCAATTATTAAAATAAATAAATAATAAAATTATGTATAATATATATTTAATTATAAACATCCTGGATCTTTGTCCTTATGCAATTTATGTTTGTAAACTGCCTCCACGATACAGGAGTAAATCCTAGTGTGGGGGTAACGTTTTTTTAAAATAAGACTTGTGTTTCACAAACAATTTTCGGCTTGGTAAGGCTCTATAAAGCCAAAAGTTTTTCCATTGGTCATTGTTACTGCCATTATGTAGACACTAGTTGCGATGCGTGCATATAAAATTTAAATCAGGTGCATGCGATCACTCTGGGAGCTCGTAGCAAACAGAACGTGCGCCCAACGTGTGGCCGCGGCGGCTAATACTCTGCCACAACCCTTTGATCTTTTGTAAAAAAACCGACACCACACGGATCTCGCGCCGACTTGTGGGCCATCATTCCAATACATACCAACGTAAGCATAAACAGCCGCTCTACACGATGGCATCGTTATTGGCCAACACATTCGCCAGTATGTTGGCCAACGTGAAGAGCCGCCTTTAGCGAGTCGCACATAACCACGCA